ACTGTCACATTTCCATTTTACCATGAAAATAATTATTTATTTTAAATGATGTTCTTCACAATCTCATCATTCATTCGGTCTGAGATCACTTAAATTTTTTGGAAATAATTGAAATGCTAAATTTACAAAAGTATTTTATTAAACTTATAATTCAATAAGTTTAGATGAGAGAAAATTTTTCAATAGAAATAAACCTTAACAATTTCTATTTTGTTAAGAATAAATTTGATGAAAATAAATGAATAGAAATTTGGGCAAAAATATCAATAAGAATGGAAAAAAGAATGATTATGAATCATCGAATGACCTTCGAACATGGCTCATTGATTTCGTTGAATGTAGATGTTGTCCTTGATCTAAAGTCCTGAAGTTGAGGGGCGGAATGGATTTTGCGCAAAGGCAGGTCGGAGTTTTGCCGTGACACGGATTATGAATCGTCTATAACCAATGGATAAATTTCGTTGGTTCTTTGTTACGTAAGTTATATTTTATTATAAATTCAACTAAGAATTTATAATGTGATAACATTCTTCAAATTCGAAGTATTATTATTGGATAATCTACAACGGTTTGAAAAGAAACCAATTCATTGTACATACTTGTGTATAATAATATTTGATGGCTAATTTTTATATAACAGAGTAGTCGTTATAATCTTTATACAAGCTTTGATAATTTTTTATTTAAAAGATATTCAACTGTTAAATGACATCTACTTCAAATAAATCCAACATTACTTGGATAAATAATTTTTAGAAACAAATTAAGTGTAATAATATAATTTTAGCTTGCATACAATTTATTAATAATTGCAATAAATATCAATATAATCTGATACTTATAGGTCAGTCCATAATTATTTTACACATCAAAAAGAAAAATGATATTTCATACATAAGTTTCTTTATGTAATTTTATTAAAAGTAGGTCACAAATTAATTTTATTCACGTAATACTGCATACATACAGACGAATAATAATGATTATTAATGAAATATTTTTTAAAAGTCCAGAATGAGTCAAATTTGACAAATAAATAAATAAATTCAAAAAGTTTATGTAATTTTAATAAAAAAATAATAATCAATTATGTTGGCACTATTGGCAAATGATGATTAGCATTCAGCAAGATTTTAAATTTCCGATTAATTACCTTCCATATCAGTAATTGGGACTTCAATCATGTACTGTTGTTTTTTTAAGTTTATTATTGAAATCAGTATGAATTTTTGAAAAGATATACAAAGTACTAATTAGTTATTTATTTAAGAAAAGTCCATTCTAATTTTATAAACAAAAATGTCATTTTTACGCTTAAATTTAATAAAAATTCAAAATAACATAATTTTAAAATATTAGAAAAAGCTGTCGAATGAATTGCTTTTCTTCTCCTTGATGTAAGATGGGAAAAAAAAAGTAACCAAGGAGATGCGATACTTTCTCGACCTCTACCTTAGTTTTCGCGGCCATGACACGTTATTCTCGTTCTTCTCTTACGAATTATTCGAAGCTTGCCACTCTTCTTATTCTCGATGTTCCTTTTTTTTCGAAGAGCAAACCTATTGCAATCTTTACGAATATCTTCTAATTTTTCAATCATTTATTTATCAAAAATTTCGCTTACATTGTCTGATTAAAAAATACTAATTAATAATTCCATTTAATTGTAAATCATATTTAAGGATTTAATTTGAAAAATTAATTAACATCAAATGAATAATTAACACTTGAAAATACTAATTGCTGATTGATTAGATTATTGGAAAAAATTTTTATAGTGTTTTCTTTTATGCAAAATCATTCAATAAAAAAAAAAAAATACACTCAAGTTCGATCCTAAATCAAGGTTGCATCAAAGCATGCAATCTTTTCGCAATAAACACCACGTAACAACGAGTCTTTCAACGTCGACAAAGTTATTCGATATCCACAGCATATGGACCGTTCAACATGGAGTATCAAGGGGATTATGCAATACTCAAGTCTGGAGAAGATTATAAAAACGTTCAGAATGTTTATCCATGCTATAGACTTTATTTAGTACCTTTTTTTTCATTTAAAAATGGAAAAAAATTATCTGTTAATTAGAATAAAAATTTTTTTTTTATAAATTGATTATTGGTAAATGAAATTAACAAATAATTAACATAACTCAAAAACAAGTTATTTTGAATGAATCAGAGGTTTATTCTACTTGTCATCTGTTGCCTGATGCGCCAAGTTAATTATAAACCACCAAAGCATCACCGTGTGGCGCTTTAAAATATTTGGTAATAGGTATTTTGTCTCTATCAAAGTATAAAAGCGTCGAAAGTAATCCGACAATACTTTGTGAGTGGTCAGTTATATAATCAGTTAAATAGCGAACACTTAAATTGAATCTTACATTGTGTACGATATTTTGTAATAAGAAAAAGCAGATGCTACGAAACTTTCAAGACAGATGCATTTTTTATCGTCAAGACATTTATATAATCCAACTATTAATTTTTAATCGATTTAAAATATATGTTTTTCACTTCTATTGGAATAATTTTAAATTTATTTTTCATTTGGACAATCATGAAATCAATTGTGAGTGAAATATCTTTATAAAGCAAACTTTATACAATTTTAATAGCATTAAAAATGACTGGTCATGTAATTTATGTAGTAAGTCAAAAGAGAAGAGTTACATCAGATTTCCATAGAGCTACGAAGTCATACTAGAGATATTAAAATTATAATAAACAAACTAATGATATAATCATGATGCTGAAGGTCATAACATTTATTATGGAACAAAAAGTAGGTTAATTAAATGCCCTAATTGTTTAAAAGGTCGATAATCAAGGCTTTCTGATACAATATATCTGTACCTTTGTATTTTTGTAGAATACTAATAAAAATATTACTCATCACATTATTAGAGCGTTAACTTCTTTACTTTATTATTGAGAAAAGTTAACTCTAGAGGACGATGACGTCGAGACGTCATTGTTTATAGTCAGTATATGAGTATAATACCGTTATAATCATTAGACCGAAACGTCAATAATAAATATGAAAAAATGAAGCAATAATAATAAAATAAATATTGATTTTAATTTAATTTAATACATTTAACTTTCTATTTATTTGTTATTTATTCTTTTCTAAATAACAAAATTATTAATCATTTGGAATTAGTCGATTTGCATTCAAATATGCATACGTAGTGTCAACTAGAAATATATTTTTCGTTACTTTTTGCTTAAAAATTAAAACAAAAGGAAATGGAATGAGATGAGATAACCAGCTAATCTGTGTGAATATAATAAAACTGTGTACATCTGTTGAACTGTGCTTGCATTATATAAAAATTACTGAACTCATTTGGATGGAGTTTACATAAAAATTTAAGCCTCACCTTGCAGTAACATTTACTTTTTCTTTCAATTTAGTTGGCTTACTCAATCAAAAAATATACGAATAGTATCCATGGTATTGCTAAATGGACAATCATGACAAAAAGTTCATATCGCTATAGTCTGCATGGACGAAATTGTAGACAGTTAATATTTTATTAATACATTTATGAAGATGGGTAAAAAGCATTTTTTTCTTGACTTTGGTGGGAAAACATCTCATTTCAAATATCTTGATCACAGGTGCAAGAGTCATTAGTAGTGATTTTCTGACGTGCTCGAATCAACAATTTATTCTTTAAATGCATCGACGCACGACAGCCATTGTTCTGGTCAGTGTAGAAATTTATTCTCAAGAAAATAGAGTTCGTCGTACGAACCTCTTTGTTCTCCCGTGCGCGACTGGCCGTGTCTTATTACAACGTCAGGGATCCGGAGTTTCATCTCCGGTCTGAGCCTCGTCGAGTTTATTACATAAGAGCCAAGACTCGCTTCAGACTGGCCGTGAACTTAGGCGCCGACCGAACGAGCAGTTGCAGCCCTTTTATTTTATTCTTTTCCAGTCTCGTTTGTACTCCATCACTTCGATTCCAAATCCTCCACATTGTATGTGTTTTATTTAATATACAGTTTTTGATGTTTGCATTCTTTTTCAAATTTAATATCTTAGCAACTAATTTTAGAATGACATTCACATATTGTAGCTTTATTATTATTATTACTACTACTATTGATATTTTTTAGTATGCTTATAACTATTACTTTAATAACGAACACATTTACTCTACATGTGAGTTCATAAGAGTTTATTAATAGTAGTTTCATGATTACCAGGTGAAAATTCTCCGTAAGTACATTGAACTATTTGTATAAAAATAAAATTTTAATCAAAAATAATCTAACCAAATTCCATTTAAACTATTTTATAATAAATAATTTTTTTTACATTATGATCTCAGAATTATTTTAAGCCCATGGATATCCGAATACTTTGTTTGAAATATTTTCACTTGAGAGACATAACTTGAATGAAACTTACTTTATTTCCAGGTAATGATTTCATTATTAAAGAATTCATTGTCATTAGTTGATAACCTCGACTAAAATATCGAGATAAAATTCACAATTACGGCTACTGGATTTTTATGGTAAAGTTCTATTATTAACTTAAATAATAAAAAGGTGCTTTATATCAGGTACAATGTGTAACGCAACAGAAAAATAAAAATAAATTTCTTGTATTCAGTAAATATACATAAATATTTTGCTCATGCGCAATACTCAGATGCTTTAAAGGCAAACAAAGACGTGCGATGCGTCGAGGTCCACGACCTATACGATGCAAAAAATGCTGACCTGTCGACCTCAAAATAATCAAGGAGTGTGAAAAAATTTAACAGAATTAATAATGTAGGGGGACATAAATAAATATGTCAATGTTCTTGACATTGAAGTTTCTCATTCATGAGCGTAATAAGTTGCCAAATAAATCAACAAAACTATTATAAACCTCTCAAGATGATAGTTCTTTTCATAACACATCGATTAATGACTGTAATAATCAAAGCAGCAGCTATTGATAGAAGTAAAATAATATTATTATTAAACATTTACCGAGTCGTATTGCAAGATTGTAGCGTTCAAGAGCTTGAGCCGGATGTCCATCTTTCAAAAGGAGATCACCTTCATGCCTCGCCCTGCTGGCCTCGGCTTCCCTGGGCCACCACTTTTCCACAAGTCTCTGCACCAACACATTTGTTTCACCGATTGGTCCAAGTTTTTGTCCACACGCGCGACAACATTTGACAGGATCGTAACAGTTTCTGCAATGAGTGTGACCACATCCGGCGGTTATTGGTTGATATAAAGTTCCTTCGCACGTGGGACAGGAAAATGATGTTTCAGGACATCTTTTCGTTGTCATGGAACTATTTAAATCTTCCAAAAGTGCTGATATCAGATGCTTTAAACGTTCTGCTGGTAATGGTTCTAGAGTTAAACAACGTGCAAACACATTAAGGGAATCTCTAATACGACCACATCGTGCTAATGAATCTCCATAACCAATGAGAATCTCCAAATTTGGACTTTGCTGTTTTAGACTCCGTTCATACATCTCCACTGCTAGACCATAATTGTGAGAAGCAAATGCTTCCTTAGCTACGTCTGTCATTTTGAATAACTTTCTCTCTATGTGCACCAAAAATTTGAAAGAAAATATTCTTTTCTAATAAGAACATAAATAATTTAGCGGAAAAAACTCTAAAAAAGAAAACTTATAAAACTATGATATTGTGGAGTCAAAATCTTCACGGTAAAACCCGCTACCAGCTGATTTGAGGAAGTTAAATCCGTTACACATTTTTGTTGTTTTTTTTGTATCAATTATTTATTAAAATCATTGTAGATTTGTTGCTCATGTTAATTACTGATGAACAACAATATTAATAACCACTGTCGAATTCACGTGAACACTTTTTACGTAACAAATGTATCACAATATAAGTAACCTGATTCAGTGACTTACGAATTTTTTTTACAAATTATATATAGAAATTTCATAAAAATAATTGAGTGTGAGTAACAGGCGCGTTTTGTTTGACAGTTGAGCGCCACGCGGTATGTACGGTGAGCGCAAGTGAAGAAACACTTTTCAGAACTTATTCAACGATTACCAACTGACGTCTCGGCTGTCAGTGGCATACTGTCGGCCAGATCAGAGGTACGAGTAACATTAGAGAGAATAAGCAAACCGAGTGCGACTCTGGCGCCCTCATCGTATTATACGCTTTTCAAACGTTAGTTTTGCTGTGGCCATTTAACCAACTACAAGGGATGAGACGCACCAAGTGAACGGCTCCTACACCACCGCGTATGACTCTATTCCCACTCTTATCCTGGAAACCCTGCAACGCAAGCGTTATGACGTTGACGACATCGTCCCCGCGAAACTTATAACGGAATTCACGTAACACATTTTTTTCTGAGTCATTTTTTACTTTTCTCATCGACTCACTTGAATAAAAATTTCTTCTCCAAGTTTTTGATTAACTAATGAAATTTCTATAAAACACTAATTTTTTTTCTCATTATTATCATCAGTAATTTATTAAATAATTACTTATATTTATTGGCATAATTATATTTTAAATTTTGCTGTTTTCTAAAACTAAAAATATCAAATTAAAAACTAAAAAATTCATTTATTGTTCATTGGAATATTTTTCTACATTTTACGAAAAATATCAAATTTTAATCCCTACAGAAGATAATAAATTTTTTATGTTTGTTATATTCATTTTTCTGTATTAAAATTTTTTATTTATTATTCTGATTGTTACTTGCAATATAATGAAAGAAAGTGAATGATAATAATGGAAGGGACTAGTTTTTTGGTTTGATATTCATGGTTAATAATATGTATTTTTTGTTGTTTTATATAATCATTGTATTTCCTCACTTGATGGTGTAAGCAAGTTTCGTGATCACAACATTAGATGACTACAGGGCTGACTAAGCTCAACGGCTTCTCTCGTGATAGTTAGGGAGCTCATTAATCGAATTTTAATTCTAATTGTTGATGCCAAATAAGTTTCTATTTAAATTTTCAATTTTTTCAAAGAGTCATTGGATCATTTCAGTGACAATTTATTTTTATTGTAATAAGTAATAAATTGACAGCATCATTTGTTTCTCTATTTCATTAAATTAATCACTTCAAATATTGATCAGCAATACACCTCATCATTTAACTTTATTTATAGAAAAAAAATTAGAAAAAAAATTCTATCATAATTAAAGTAGAAATGTAATATCTGTTATGGCCAATTAATAACGTAATCTGTTGTATTAATCACACAGTTGTAGTTTTAAAAAAAATGAAACGGAAATGAGATAATATATCGAAATACATTTATTTATCATAAAATATTTCCGTACATGAGTTATTCACTTACATCCAATATTTGTCATTTAACAATATAAATAAATTTCTTTTGGTACTTTTATTAGTAATAGATGGTTAATTTATCGGCTATCGAAATGATTAACAAACAATTGTACTATCCTACTCAAGTGCTGGATTATGTAAAGATCATGTTGAAGGAGTAGAGTGCAAACTCGCGTGCTGTCGGATCAATTACTCTGGCCACGAGCTTCGCCCTCCAAGCTCCCGGGCTTACGCATGTGCAGTTGATAATAAAACTCATACAATTCATCTTTGTATCATCGAGTTGGTGATAAAAATATAAATAAACACCAATGAACAAAGGAAAAAAATTTTATTGTCCTCTCTTTAGGTCTACAAAGATGGAAAATATTATCATTTATCGATTTCATTATCAGCATAGATCATTCAGTCTGATCGCATAATATTTTTGTTTTATTTATTCGCAAATTTAGACCATTCCATGAGATTTTACAAAATTTGGAAAAAAAAAATAAAATAAATTTCCCTTATGTAAATTTTGGCTTGAAAAATTAAAAAAAGAAGCAGTTATCAAACATAAAACTTAATCTTATATCAATGAATGTACATGTGGGGTACATATTGGAATGAGAATTTATCTGTCTTATATAAGCTATTTGTCTCATACAAAGAGTCACCTTTGTCGATCACAAAACAAATTGTTAATCATCGAAATAAGGCGTATCTTGTTGTGTTACGTAAATGGCATTCTCACAGGATACATATGATCGACTTTTGTTACACTAATTTGTTTTTAAATCTTTAAGGACAACAGTTAAAATCGTCATAATGTATTTTGTCATAATTAATATAAATAAAAAATATGCCACTCGACTGATTCAAGTTATTTTAGTAGTTTTTTTCTTAACATAAACTAAGTAATTAATGATCGAAGAACATAATTGTTTATATAATACTTGAATAAGATATGACTATAGTTAGGCAACGTGTAGTTTTTTTTATTAAAAAGAAATTAAGTTATAAAACATTTAGTATTCTTCTTTCTAATCTAGATTGCTTTCAAATAAAAAAAATCTTTAGAATCAATATAAAACTATTTGAATCTTTGGATGGAAACATTTATTTATAATTAAACAGAATTAAATGATACGTGGGAAATGACAAAATGATTATTTAATTATTAATATAAATTACTATTATAAATACATTTTCTGATGTAATGAGTGTTCAATAAGTACTTCAACATATTATTATAATTTACAACAAAATAGAATCATTGTTTTTAAATTTCAATTGATTGAAATACTGTAAGTTTTGATAAATTGTGTAAAGATATCAATTAATGATTAATGATTGAATATTAATGTTTTAAAAACTTGATAATATTTTTTCAACATAACCAACTTTTAATTAACAATAAGAATCAGGAGGCATAAGAGAAGTTAATGGTTGTGATATATAAAATAGAGAAAACAATAAAAGTTTTTAAAATTTATTGCGAAAATTGATTAAACGTAAAGCAAATACAATTTTATTGGCTCTCAGATAGTTAGTAATGCACAAAACAACGTGTCGTGTGACTAAAAATAAAGCCAGTCTCAGTAAACACCGCGAACCTTTATATAATGAATGAGCGTAAATATCTTGTGAATATGCGCTCTTAGTTGCAAGAAATCAGACCTTATTATCCGTACGATATGACCTGCTGGCCTAAGTATATTCATTTGACAAACCATCCCAATAAATAACTTTACAGTTCAAAACATTATAATTAAATTCATTTGTTATATCTAGCAAGTATTAACTTTAAATGCCTGATTAATTACAAATGTCGAAAAGAACAATAATTATTTTCTTTTTTTTTTACATTAAATATTTATATTGGCTTGATGCAGCATTTTTGTTAATAAAATGTTGCTTGTTGTACGTGATCCAAAACTAAAAACACATAATCTTTACTTACGTTCTTAAGCGCAACACGTGTTCTCTCGACGATAGAGCCGAACTTTATTACATAATTTTCTCAGTACACACGTTTCTACGGTAATGTCAGTTCCATTATGTTATTTGATCGTTTTATGACACGTGTTTCTCTAATTCTCATTTTCATAAAGTTTATTTCTATATATAGTTAATCAATAATTTATACTTTACTTAATTAATATAATAAAAAAATCATTGATTATCTTAAATTAAATAATTTTTCTGAAAAATTCGATAACTGGCAAATTGTTTCATTTTATTATTGTTTTATTATTATTACACATTTATATCGCTAATATAAATAGTCTTCATTCTGTACATATTATTATTGACTCTAAAAATAAGTCAAGTAATTTAATTAAATTTTTAATGATTTCAAACAATACTTTTTTTATTTTTGACTTGCATAAAATTGAACATTGCTAATTTGATTAACTATTTTCTTTAATCAATTTTACTCATTTATTGCGACTGTTTAATAAAATATTTTTTTCATGCTATTTTATTTTTTTTTGTCTTTTAATTACTAATATATGTAAGATATTTCGCAATAAATAATTAGTAATTACTGAAACAATTATTTGAGAAAATCATAAAAAAATCTATAGTAATTAAATAAGAATCTAATAGTGTTTATGACTGAATTTTCTAGAAACAACTACAATAAAAATTGGAACGGACACATGCTTCTAACTGGATTTGAAATCATTCAGCTTTTATGCAACAATTCACGTGCAATGATAAGCCACACTTCGCATAATAACTTAACATATGTTTGTCATCACATAAATACAATATATAAATGTGTAGTGCAGTGTAAGTATTACTGATTTGTCTAGAAATGATTTGGATCATTTGATTTGATTACAGGGTATTATTGCGAAATTTAAATACATTGTATTATTTATTGTTACATCGATCATTTTATTTTAGATATTAATGCTTCATTCTGTAATGGATTTAATTTTTTGAGGACACACTGATACATCTATACAGATCTCCAATGACACAGTTATCTGGCTCCCACAGATTGAAAATCAGAACGAGGGCTTTATGTAATCGGAGATTGTGTTAAACGTTCTCTTCGCCTTCTACCACGTGTGTCAATTTCCACTACATAACCCGGTCGGTATCACGATCTTTCGTGAATCGGAACTGAGTTATGTCATTATATTAGAAAACAGAATACTGAAAACATTCAAAAAATATTATATTGAAGTCAACAAACTTTCTTGGTAAAATATTTCTGATCAAACATTGCTTATGAATATTTTCGATCAAAAATTTATTTATCTAGGGATAACTATAGGGATAACTTTGACTAGAGAATATTTTTCATTAATATTATTATTGAAAAATCAGAACATTAAGAAAGCTTTGATGTTATTGATTTAGAAGTTAATGAATAATTTATTGTAGTTTTTGCTGATAAAAAGCCGTAATATATTATTCGGCTGATGAATTGTTGAAATATGTACTGATGGTGATTGTTGTTCAACTGTATAAGTGAAATAATGTGTAAATTAGAAGATTGATATAAATGTCGAGTAGTAATGACCGACCCAATAATATATTTTTAGAAAGGAAATTTATATTCAGCATATATAAATTAGAAAAAATATAGTTACAACATGAAATTAGAACACATGCAAAATATGGAAAATAACTTTAACGTCAAAAAGTATACTTAAGAATTTTTATTATTTGAATTGAATCATTTAATATTTAATAATAATGTACTCATCTGTGATTAATTTACTTATCATATTACATTTATGAAAA